TAGGTGGGGTCTTACCAAGGAATTATATAAATGTAACATCACCTCCCTTGACTTAAACTCCACACACTTAGAGATATAACCCTTTTTTATTGTTTCTCCACACTGGTGAGAGTGGGACATGGAAGTATCAACATACACACCGAGATCTTTCTCGTAATCAGCTACCTTTATTTCAGTGGAACCCATAAAATATCTGTACTTTATATTTCTGCTCCCTGCATGGATTACCTTACATTTATCTGTGTAAAATTTCATCTGCCAAGTATCAGTCGTTAATTAATTCCACATCCCGTTGTAGCCTCTCTGCTGCTAGATCAGTATCTGCTACACCACCCACCTTGGTGTCGTCTGCAAATTTAACCAGTTTACTTTATGTATTTGTGTCAATAGCTCGATGGGCTGAATGGCCTCCTCTCGTTTGTATAGTTCTTATGTTCTTAATATCATTAATGTAAATTAGGAACAATAGTGGTCCTAAAATTGAACCCTGCGGTACCCCACTATGAACGCAGGCCCACAGTGACATTGTGCCTCTAATAACTACTCGCTGCTTCCTGTCTGTTAACCAGTTTTCGATCCAAGCTGGCACAGTTCCTAAAATCCCTGCAGCTTTGAGCTTTAGCAAGGGGGACAACTATTGACTGAGCTCCTAGGCCACTGTCGCACTCTATTGGTTGTTCATTTTTTTGTGTGTCTTCAATTCCACATCATTATGCTTTATTTGTACGACCTGTGTGTGGCTCAGTGGGCTAAGCCTCTGTGCCAGTCATTAGAAGGTTGTTGATTCAAGCCCAGCCTCAGCACATCTGTGGGTCCTTGAGCAAGGCCCTTAACCCCCAGCTCCCTGGGCACTGCTATGGTTGGCCATCCTTTGTGGTCAGCTTGCTCTCACCTACAGAGAGCAAGATGGGGGAGGTGTAAAGAGAATTTTGCCATGAGGATCAATAAATTATTACCATTAATCATAATAACCAGCCATTTCCTACCATTGTCTCGTTATATCTTTCTGTTTGTGCTCAGTGTGCTACTGATTTTTTGTTTCTATCTTGATTATGCTTAAATAAAACTGACAAACCTATTCTGACAGAAAAAGACCCAAAAGATAATATGTCCACTAGAGTCCCCAGTTTTGTCCAGTAAATTATGAGTGGTATTGTTTAATGGTGATTTAGATGTAGCACAAAATGAAATGTCTTCATGAAATCATTCATTCCGGTAGAAAACCGCATGCTTGGGGATGAGCGTGAGCAAAAAATACATGACAGGAATTTTGCTTTGGCTTCATGAATGTACATTTTCAGGTAGAAACTCTGATGCTATTGAACTGACCATAATAGAAAGGAAAATGTACAACTTCTAACCCTGTATCCTGGTCAGTGTTGTGTGTGTGTGTGTGTGTGTGTGTGTGGGGGGGGGGGGTTGCTGGAGAAGCTAGGGGTTACACCAGGCCACTCTACACACACAATGGCTGAATCAGAGAGACCCCTCAGCCCAAATGTGGAAGGAACCTCACACAGCACAGAAAAAGAACATGCAAGCTACACAGGGGTGAGGCGTGAACTCCCGGCCCCCAAGTGTGAGGCAACAGTGCTAACCAGCAGCACCAACGGCGATAAGATCTCAAGTTCTGTCTGTTTACAGCCACTGTTTTCAATCCCCCCCCCCCCCCCCCCGCCGGCATTAATTATTTCCTGCAGTAGCATCTCCTTTGAAATGAGAGGAAGCCTAATCTGGGATCTCGCACGCATTTGTCCTGCAGATGCCCCAAAACCCTCACCGGCTCTCTTTGCTCTGTCGGAAGGCAAACAGAAGCAGCATGTGCTTGAGAACAGCCAGTCGTTCCTTCATTCCCTGCTGTTTTTATTAGCTCTCCACTTATGGAGCCATGAACGTCACAAACACATATTTCTCAGTGATTGCAACATGCGATAGATTAATCTTCCCTTTTTGTGGCCAAATATGCAGCGTGTCAGCAGCCAAATACACATCGGTTAGAATGGGAGACTTCTCAGATATAAAGTACCGTTCCGAAGAGCTGCTTTTAAATCTGCCCGACGCTTCTGATTGGACAGCTGCCGCATAGACCTATGCTGCTACTTTAGTGCATTAGTAATGGTGATGTTATCATGGCCGCTGCTGGTCTGTGAGAGCGTGTCCAGCGAAATGTGAAAAGCAGAAGGTCATGCGTTGCTCAAGCGCTGCTGACTTTCAGGAAAACATGCAAGACTGACGGGGTATTGGTGTGAGCAGTCTCAGGCGAGCCTGTTTACTGAAGCGATTGACAAAATATTGCCATAGATTCTTCCAGTATAAAGTTGGAGAATGATTCTGATCACTGACATGGTTTTTTTTTCATGATTCCTGTCTCTGGAGTGCCAGTATCTACTCTCTTTTCCCACAAAACTTCTTGTTGCAAATTTGCTCCGGAGATGAAATACAGCCATAACCTAAATGCCCCCCAGCCAGTGAACTGTAAGCTGATACAATCACACTCATATATAATATAAAACCCTTAACCATCAAAATTTAAAAGTCACGTCAACATTGATGATGACAATAGCTAATGAATGAATAGGATGGGTATCTAATGAACGGCTCCCTTGTGTACCTTCTCAGCCCAGACAGATAGTAGAAGGTGACGATGCTGTCCCCCCCCCTGCACAAACTGCCACCCTAAAACTGAGGGCAGCAATCCAGACAGTGGATGTAATGACGCTTTCAGAGCTGACCGTGTGACCGGCAGCTGAATCAGCCGTGTCTGTTCCCAATTTTGCTTCAAAATAATCTCCCCTTTCTTTGGAAAAACAGGTTTAAGACTAATTAAAATTAAGGAAGATCCCCAACCAGAATAGACATCACAACTGTCTGGGTTTCAATATATATGGACTCTTCTAGGTATATGTGTGTTTATAGAGAAACAGGAACTGAAAGATGGTAATAGTATTGAAAGAAGCCCTTAAGACTGATTTGCTGAAACTGTACATTTTATCCGACCAATATGGAGGTCAAAGGGTGATAGGTCTATGGAGAAAGGCCGTGCCTGCTTATAACAGGCAGAAAGGGGTAAGAGCGCATTCAGGAAAACTGAGAAGCAGTTATAGACGCTAGATGTTTGCTTGGATGGTTTATCTCATTATGGGTTCCTGGGGAATGCGCTGTGCTGTTTAGGGTTACTCTAATGTAACTGAACAGCTGATGGAGATCACAGTAACCTCATTGTGAGTTAATCTCATTACTAACCACTTACCTTCCCCGCTCGTGCATTCACATGACGCTAGCGTCGTGCGCAGTTAGAATGATCATAACATTACAGCACAGTGCTATTAATACAAAGGTAGTTTGTTGGGTAATAGATTGGTGTCTGTTTGCATTAATATTACACAAAGGAAGAAATAAAGAAGTTGTACATTAATATGGCATCCATTATGAAGACCAGAAATTGAGGCATAGACTTCATTGACCTCGAAATTTAATTAGAAGGACAGTTGTAATTGAAAGATAATCACTCCTGCAATTAGGCTGTCCTCTTTGATTGGTAAAAATGGACTGGAACAGAAGAGTGATACTTTTTGGATCCCTGTGGGGTAGTTGGCCTGTTGCCTACCCCGTCTTGTTGCCCAGGAGACACACAAAGCAGTGAGAGCAAGCTGGGGGGTCACAGCACAGATTCAGCTTGTGTGCAGTGCCCCTGGAGCAACTGGGGGGTTAAGGGTCTTGCTCAGGGGCTCAACTACAGCATCAGTCCACCAGCTGTG